ATTTATGGCTTTGTTTTGTAACTACTAAAATCTAATGTATCTGCTTCCATGGTGGAACATAAATGAATCTGTGTTCCTGGGTGTCTTAGAATTATAATTGCTATGTTGAGAATCTGGAGGTAGGAGTTGATGTAGAGTTCATGGAAGAGTGCTGCTTACTGGCTTGTTATACATGGCTTGTTTTTTATAGAACCCACAACCACCAGCCCAGAGGTGGCACCATCTATAATGACTGGGCCCTCTCCCACCAATCACTAATTAAGAAAATGCCTACAGGCCTGTGTTTAGCCTGACCTTACAGAGGCACTTTCTCAATTGAGGGTTCCTTCTCTCAGATACCTTGTGTCAAGTTGACATAAAACTAGCCAGCACACTGGGTCATGGACACTTGTATTTGGCTCAGATTAAACTATCTCTTACAACTTTTGAGTTTGGAGTTGTGCTTTGCACTGACAATGTCATGTTGACCGAATATTTCTGCTTAGGCTAATGATAATTCAGGCTTGCATTTTTATGTCTTGAAGTTTGATCTGACTAGTAATTCATCTTTATCAGATTTTATTATCTTTTATACCAGGTGGAAATAATTGTTCCTTCACTGTGGAAAGTTTAGGAATTGCATCGCTTCTTGGCCTTTTGGCTAAGACCAAGTGTAGAACTGTATAGAGTATACAAAGAGAACCATGAATGCCTCCTTCCCATCCACTCACCTCCATTCCAGAGGATTGAGTTTGTTGTCCTCAAGATTGAACCTAGGCCTGTTGCTACTCTTGTTTGTATTTGTTCTTACCAACAAGCTACACTTCTGTTCCTATTCGGTGTATAACTTAATTTCGTGTAAAGGGGGGGGTCATTACATACCTATTTCAGTAGAACTTCATTTCACTATTTACTTTTATGCATGTATATGGTTGTCTGAATTTATATACATGTGTGCAGAAGCCTACAGAAGGCAGAAGAGGGCATCAGATCTCCTAGAATGAGTTATGGATGGCTATGACCCACCAATGTGGGCTCTGGAAATGGAACTCAGGTTCTCTGTGAGAGCAGTAAGCACTATTGAATTGCTGAGACATCTCTCCAGCCACTGGACTTTGTTCACTTAATAATGTATGTCAGAGGTCCTTCAAACCTTCTTTTACAAAGCCTTACCCAAATCTGTCACATTTTGGAACTGTGTGTAGTGAAATATGCCTGTAGTTTCACCATGTGGAAGACTAAGATGGGTAGATCTTGAGTTTAGAGACTAGACTAGTCTGCATAGGATGACCCTTTTCCCAAAACACAAAACTAATTTATCACATTTTTAGTTTGTATAGTGTCTTAGTTAGGGCTACCACTATCACTTGATGAAAATACCATAATCAAAAGCAACTTGGGAAGGAAAAGATTATACTTCTACATCACAGTCCACCAATGAGGGAAGTCAGGACTAGAACTCAAAACAGAGCAGGAACCTGGAGGCAGTAGCTGATGCAGAGACCATGGAGGGGTGGTGCTTATTGGATTGCTCAGTCTTTCTTGTAGAAGCCAGGATATCATCACCCACAATGGGCAGGACTGTCCCCTCTCAATCACTGCAAAAAACAAAAAACAAACAAACCCCCCAAAAAAGCCCCAGACACTTACCTAAAATCTCCTCTCTCTCTTTTTTTTTTCTTCAAGAGTTTCTCAGTAGTTTTGTGACTTACTGAGGAGCAAGTATTTATCACACACACCATGTTTTCCTGTTGGAGGAATGAAGGTACCAGGAATACACCCTTCCCTCCTCTCCCCCAAGACAGGGTCTAGCTGTGTAGCCCTGGCTGTCATGGAACTCATCTGTAGACCAAGCTAGCCTGCAAACTCAAGAGATACACACTGCCTCTGCCTCCAGAGTGCTGGGATTAAAGGTGTGCACCACCACCACTCCAGGCTAGGAACCAAGAATGTTAAACACAGGGTTTTCCCTTCAAAGGAAGAGACACATTACCTGTTAACCCCCCCAGATGGCTGGGAGTAGATGTGGTTAATAACCTGGAGACCTTTCTAGTTGTGTGGCCAAAGACAACATCAGCCAGCTCCTCCTACAGACCCTTGTCATGAGTGTGTCAGTCTACAGAATATATCATTATGGGCTGGGCGGTGGTGGTGCACGACTTTAATCCCAGCACTCGGGAGGCAGAGGCAGGTGGATCTCTGTGAGTGAGTTCGAGGCCAGGCTGGACCGACAGTCTCCAAAACAATACAGAGAAACCCTGTCTCATAAAACCAAAAATAATAAAAACCCAGAGTCAGGTATTGGGGGTAAAAGTTGAAAGAACAGAAAAGTAAAGCAGCCAGCCACTAAAATTCTTACCTCTACAAAATCCTCAGACCAAAAAAGGGCTGTGCATCTGTCTCTGTCTGCTCTCTCCACCCAGCCATTTCACTTCTGTCCCCACACCCCTAGTGCTAGGATTAGAGGTGTGAGACCCCAAGTGCTGAGATCAAAGGTGTGAGCTGTGTTTCTATTTTAGACCTGTTAAATCTCATGTAGCCCAGTGTGGCCTTGAACTCTGTTCTTCCTGCAGCCTGGCCTCTACTGTTAACTAGAGGCTAGCTCCACTCCTGATCTTCAGGCAAGCTTTGTTAGGACAGAAACAAGTATCACCACAGTCACATGTACTTTACAATAAAGTTTCCATGAAGTCACTGAGTTAATTATCACCAGGCAAATTTTCACCAAATTGTGCTGTGCCTAAAATACACCTAAAACTGGTGACACAGCTATTTTTGAGCCATTTCTGCTCCAGTAAAAACAAAACTACTCACCTATATTTCTTTAACCGCAATAAAAATCTATCTATCTATCTATCTATCTATCAATCATCTATCTATTTTTTGGTTTTTTGAGACAGGGTTTCTCTGTGGCTTTGGAGACTGTCCTGGAACAAGCTTTTGACCAGGCTGGTCTGATACTCACAGAGATCCATCTGCCTCTGCCTCCCAAGTGATGGGATTAAAGGCGTGCACCACCACTGCCTGGCTAACAGCAATACAATTTATTGATTCACCAAGTTGGTCTGTGGTGGGTTCCCTATCTGGGTTAAGTGGATGCTGTGGGTGGTGTCTCACCAGGAAAATTTTGTTGAACAACACACCTCTTCCCTGGATGTATCTCTCCTGTGTTTGCACAAAAGATGTAGATATGAAATGCCACTGAGGAATCATCTCCTTAGATAGTGGTACTGAGAGGTGATTTAATTACAAAGGCACACACACACTTCATAAATGGATTAATCCACTGAAGAGATCAGAGCTGAACAAGCAATTAGGACTTGGGGAACAAAGTCCCAGGATATATTACCTCTCTTTCCTCCTTTCCCCTTTGTTGGTGGTGGGAGTTGCTTTTTACCAAGTTCCCATACCACAAACTTCTGCCTGGACAAAGGCCCACAGGATATAGGGCCATTTGACTGTAGCTTGAAACCTTCCAAACCATAAACCAAAATAAAACCTCACTGTGAATTTTCTCAGCAATCTGTCAGTGACAAAAAAAAGCTATCAAAACTGTTTCCTGGTGGTGGTCTGCACCTTTAGTTCTAGCACTCAGGAGGCAGAGACAGATAGCTCTCTGTGAGCTCAAGGCCAGTCTGGTATACAGAGTGAGTTCTAGAACAGCCAGGACTACATGAAGAAACCCTGTCTGGAAAAGATAAAACAAAAAGCTATCAGAATCATGGATTTATGAGGTTTTTGTTTCATTCAGTGCTGGGATTAAAGGCCCATGTCACCACTTCCAGCTCTATATAAAGTTTCATTTTTTAAGGGACTTGTTTTTTTAAGAATTGTATTATGAGCCGGGCAGTGGTGGCGCACGCCTTTAATTCCAGCACTCGGGAGGCAGAGGCAGGCGGATCTCTAGGAGTTCGAACCAGCATGGTTTACAAAGTGAGTGCCAGGGCAGCCAAGGCTACACAGAGAAACCTTGTCTTAAAGATACCCCACCTCTCCCCAAATCTAGCTTCCGAAACAGCACTGACAAATAGTAAAATGTATCTAAATTCCTCATACTTTACAGATGCAAAGTTAAGGCGCTTTTCATCAAGAAATTAAGCTGTAGCAAAACAAAACAAAGTAACAATCCCGAAGCTGTGCACTAAAACAAAGATGGAGGCAGGAAAATCAATTGTTCCAAGGTCAGCCTCAACCATTTGGGACGCCCGGCTTCCTGGAGCTGTTTTGATCCATGGCCCAGAGAACACAAATCTAGGTTACTCCAAATTGCATGCAAGAAGAGAGCTGTTTTAGCCGGGCGTTGGTGGCACACGGCTTTAATCCCAACACTCTATGCAGAGGCAGGAGGATCTCTATGAGTTCGAGGCCAGCCTGGTGTACAGAGCGAGTTTTCCAGGTCAGGCTCCAAAACAAGACAGAGAAACCCTGTCTCAAAAAAGAAAAAAAAAAGAATGTTTTTTTTTCTTTTTACGTTGACATAGTGATAGTGTAATAAACAAGACATTATTTCTCCCCTCCCCCCCGCCAACACAGAGAATTCTGCCTAACTACGGGAACCACTTAGGATCAGACCTCCTGGTGTTAGTGAAGGCGTCATGCCCTCACCCTGCATCTATTTTTGGAGCCAGGGATTTTTCCAGATTACTACAAACCCGGCGAGGTGAGGTCAGGGCCGGCACAGGTTTTCCAGAGCTCCACACCCCGACACCCACGCGCGCTCGGCGCTTCCCCTCCCTTGTGTTTCTCTTCACTTTACACAGTCACACGCGGCAGGAGTCGACGAGGCCGACCCCGCTAAGGCGACCCTGCGGATGATCCGGCGCCTACCAGGGATCCCAAGGCCCTGAGCCGCCCGCGGAACCTCCACGCCCACCGATCCCCTCCGCCTCAGGCGCGACCGAAGGCCGGGGAGGAAGGAACTCGTTGGCGCGCGCCGCGGCGGGGGCGTGACCGGGGCGTGGCCCCTCTTGGGGGAGGGGCGTGGTGACGTCATGGCGGAAGCGCACGCTGCGCGCAGCGGCCTGGCAGCCGGCGGTCACGGGCATATCCGTCGCGCCGAGGACGCTGGGTTAGTCTCGCTCTGGGTTCCGGCTGCGTCGGCCGTGCGTGCGTGCAGCTCGCTGGGAACGATGGCGTCCGGGCCTCCTCACCCGACCTCGACCGCGGCCTCAGCCGTCGTCGTCGCCGCCTCCGCCGCCTCCTCGTCGGCCGCCCCGAGCGCCGGCGGCTCCAGCTCGGGCACGACGACGACCACGGCGACGACGGCGACGGCGGCCGGAGGGATCCTGATCGGCGACCGGCTGTACTCGGAGGTGTCGCTGACCATCGACCACTCGCTGATCCCCGAGGAGCGGCTCTCGCCCACGCCGTCCATGCAGGACGGCCTCGACCTGCCCAGCGAGACGGACCTGCGCATCTTGGGCTGCGAGCTCATCCAGGCCGCCGGCATCCTCCTCCGGTTGCCTCAGGTGAGAGTCCCGGGCGGCGACGGTGGCCGCCGTCTGGCTCCTCCGCGGCCGGGCGGGGAGAGAGACCGGGGTGCAGGGGGGCCGGCGGCGGCGGCGGCGGAGGCGCGCGCGGGGCCCCGGGCAGGGCAGGGCAGGGCGGGCGGGCGGGGGAAGGGAAAGGAAAAGAAGGGAAGCGAGCGGCCGCACAAGATGGCGGCGGCGCCTGGTGCGAGCCCGCCCGCCTGACCCCCCCGGCGCCTCCCGTTCTCTCCTCTCTCGTCTGCAGGTGGCGATGGCCACGGGGCAGGTGTTGTTCCATCGGTTCTTCTACTCCAAGTCTTTCGTCAAACACAGTTTCGAGGTGAGTCGGCGGCGGCGGGCGAAGACGGGGGTGGTGGCCTCATCCGGAAGCGGGAAGGAAGGAAGGAAGGGGTAGTAGTAGTTGCAACCAGCTTTTCCTGAAAAGGGAGTGGTTTGAGCCCAGGCCTTTGTACCTAGTTCCTCCCCGTGAGGCAATGGGGCCCCTTGGAACGTGTTTCCAGAACTAGAAAATGGATCCCGAGAGTCCACGTGCTCTGGTTACCGAGAACTACATTCCTCGTCTTCTGAGCTTGATTCGGGTCCAGAATCACGAGCGGTTGAGCAATAAAACGCATAAAGCTGGCGCCCCCCCCCATGGTCTGTAAATGTCCGACCTTGGGTTTTTTTTTTTATCTCGCCCAAAGACCCGTTGTAGCCTAGAGTTGATTCTTTAAAAGTAAGTTCGTTAAAGCCGGGCTGTGGTGACCCACACCTTTAATCCCAGCACTCGGGAGGCATTGGCAGGCAGATCTCTGAGTAAAAAAAGGCCAGCCTGGTCTACAGAACAAGTTCCAGGCTAGGGCCACACGGAGAAACCTTATCTCGGAAAAGCAAATAAATACGTAATACACATATACATTAAGGAAATGAGTTTGTTAGACTTTGGGCAGGGTTGTTTCCAGTTTAACTTTTTCGTTATAAGTTTCGTCCCCTCCTGGGTTCTTTCAGATTGTTGCCATGGCCTGTATCAATCTTGCATCAAAAATCGAAGAAGCACCAAGAAGAATAAGAGATGTGATTAATGTGTTCCACCACCTCCGCCAGTTAAGAGGAAAAAGGTAAGATTGGCCTATTGAACATAGTATTTCTTGCTACTGCTGTTGTGCACCAATCATCAAGTCCAAACATCTTTTTTTCCCCCTCGAGTCAGTATGGATGCAAAAGAAAACTGACATTAGGTGTTGAAATTGACATAGAAATACTGAAACTTAAACTTTAAGAGAACCCTCAATTAACCAGCTATCTAAGGTTTGTAGAGGCAGTTGCATTTGTGGACAATCCTAGCAGTGCTGTGAAGCCAGTCCCTTGGCTTAAGATTAAACAAGAAAGGGAGTACGGTTGGCTCAAGTGGGAGTTTATTCTGTAAGTTACTTTTCCCCTCCCTTCTCTGGACATGAAAGTGCTGTAGTTCGAGTTAATATTGTGGCCAAGTTCCGTGTAGGTTGTTACTCTGCTTGGAGTCCCAGTTTCTTCATCAATTGAGGTTGGCTTTTTGTTAGAGTACTTCTCAACATTGAACTACGATATTTCGAATAATACCGGATCTGAAAGGACTGGAGGATGATAAAGTTTGAAGTTTGAAGTCAAAGGGATTGAACAGGTATTTTGTTTTGGTTAGATACAGTCTCAGTGAGTGGGTTAGAAAAATAACGAATTGAGTTGCCTTCAGGTAGGGCTGTTTACTTGATCTTGTAAGAAAATCCAGTCTGAAACAGTATCTTTGAGGTGTAGTAATAGCCTGGTAACTCTGGGCCTATGCCTTTATCTATGGCAGTACCAAAGTTTGTTGGAGGACCCTGTTCTACAGGTGACTCCAGGACAAGATGATGGATATTCGTGGTGTAGATTAGTTTTTGAGGAATTGTGATGAGTTTCAAGGGAGTTAGCTGTGAAAAGACAAGTTGTTTTGGGAGCTGGGTGTTGCTTAGTCCAAGTGAGTGTCATAGATAGTCTTTATTGATGGAATCTATAAGTTGGTGGCAGTAAAGGTAGTAGCCAGATAGGCAGATATTAAAGTTCAAGGTGGGTAGCATGGCCAAAATTGCTGCCCTGATTTTTTTTTAAATAGTTTTTTTCTCCATACCTTTTCAGCCTCATTTTTTTCTCAGTGTGTTCCCAGATATAATTTCTTTTGTTTGAATGTTTTCAGTTGGTGAAGAAAGTAGAGAAAGGGGGAATTTCCAACTGGTGTTTAGTGAGCTTATATTTGTATTTAGATATGTGACTGAGTTTTTTTCATGTGTTTTTTAATAAAACACTGAAAATAAAGAATTCTTGAAAAGGACATTTTCTAGTATATGAGTCATTGAGCCAACTATAATCACATCTTGGCATTTTCCAATGGGACTTAACTTTTCCTCCTTCCTTGGTGTCAGAATAGGATCATCTTAGCTGTAAAACTTTATAATCCAATCCGACTGACTTGTGTTGGCTATAACTGCATTTTTGGTCATGGTTAAAGAGAAATTGGTTTTGTTAAAATGTTACCAGTCGATTATAACATGAAATTCTTAAAGAAGATAATTGCATGGAAGCCCCCCTTTTAAAAGCAGGATATAAGTGTTTCTATGCATATTACAAGTTTACTCAAACATGTGACTTGTATATGTTATTAACTTCAACTCTTTTTTCCCTTGCAACCGACTATACAGCGACCAGCTACATTTACCAAAGCCTGGGTGATGTGGAGTGGTACATAGAGATGAAGCTGTCGTCATGGCAACAGTGAGTGAAGTATCGAAAATCCCCAAGGAGAAGCCAGTGTTCTGAGAATAGGTCACTGGAATCGGGGACTAACAGGTTGGCCACTGGTGAACCATTTAGAGAAAAAAACAAACAAACAAAAAACTCCTGTTTCTTGTTATAAGCTTTTTTCTTTGCTGTCCAAGTTATTAAAAACTGTAGTTTAGTAATGTATTTTGTGTCCTTTGCATATCGTTAGAAAGTATTGATAAATGTTATACTTAGTTTGTCTTGAATTTTAGTAGTTTGTGAATGCTAACTAACTAGGTTATTGTATGACTGTATCAGGCACATTCATGTAGCCTTAAAGTCACCGTTTCTAGTCTTGTTACATGAACAGTAAATATCAATGTCCAGTCCTCAATATGAGTGAGATATTTGACTTGCCTCCCCTCATGGGTTTTATAGTTTTTCACAAAAGCTGAATTTAAAGGGAAGGAAACGCTATTCATACCAGTAGTTTTATAAGTAAAATTTTCTGATATGTAACATTCCCCAGCATGTTAGTTTTTTTCCTTTAAAGAAGCCTGTGTTCATATCTGTAAGGTTTGTGTTACAAGAAATTTGTAAAGATTTAACTACTTTTGTCACTGTTGATGCTATTTTCAACATATAAAAGTAAGAATTGGAAGGGTCTAGTCAGTGTTGACATTTTATCTAACCATCTGTAGTTTATTTCTTTGGTTCTGGGGTAGCTTCAGTTTGACATTTAAGAAATGTTCCTATTTACTTCAGAATAAGCATTAGAAATTCTCGTGTGTTGAGTAGGAATTTTGTCTCCGTGTGTACTAATTTCCCATCTGGTGTATAGTATAATTCCTTTCATAGTGTCAGTCCTTATAACACTTGAGGGAAGTTAACCATTCTTGAACACCCTAGTTATAACTTTCTGTCATTCCTGTGCTGTTTCAGTTATACTATAAAAAGTAGCTATCACATAAACTTCTAATAAACAGAGACCAAGGTTTCCTAAGATTGAAATTTTGTTTCAAATAGGTTAGTGAGCAAAGTCTGGTAATAAAAGCCTTCAGAGGTGGAGTTTGGCAGTTTGGAGTGTCCTAGATGTTCCTGAGTTCTGAGTAGTTGAGACTTAGTGCCCCTCTTTCTTCATCTAGTGTTTGTTGGTCAAGGATGTTTACTTGATTGGGAGGAGATTCTTCCAGGCCTTGATTCAACTTAATGTATCACTAAAAATACTTCTGATTGATTGATTACTTTGTTAATATAAAAAGCTTTTGCTTAAATGCTTACTGATTTATAGAGACATTTTCTTGGTTTTGTCATGGTATAAAATACTGTGTTAAGGTAGTTAATTTTGTATTCATTGAGCTTGCCTTGATTTATGAGGAAAATTAATTCTAAACAAAATGAAGATAAAAGATTATGCATTTACAATGCTAACTTGGAAGATTGGTAGTGGCAAGACTGAACAAGAACTTAGACAGTTGAGTTGTAGAGGGTAATGGATTCATTTCCTTGGTCTGTTTTAAAATCAGGTCTCACTGTGATATGATAGTTTGGGGTGGCCTGAAATTATGACCCTTGTTTGTACCTTAACCGCTTCCCTCCTTGGATTAAACAAAGCCTGTGCTTACATGTTCTTTAGAATTCTGATGCGGGGAATGTGCTTATTTCAAAGATACTTATTTAAGTACAATTAGTGATAAATCCTTGAATTTGGCACCAGTTGTTAGCCACAATTGAAAAAAGTATTCACCTGCTTGATCACAAATTCTGTTGTCGTTTAAAAATAACTATAAAGCAGTTTTCTTAGTAAGATATGGAATGAATTTTAAAAGCATGAAGAAAAGTGAGATCTTGGCTTTTGTGAACTGTTTGTATAGGGATTTTAATGGTGCAGTTTGCTGTCTGGATTTCGGGGGTTAAAAGCTAAGCTGTGTACAGATAAAACACTGGAGTGTCTTTGACTCCTAATTCCAGTTGAAGGACAACCTTCTAATCAGTCTGTAGTGGGATTGTCTTCAAAATTTCTTGTGGTGGGCCTTTTAATCCCAGCACTGGGAGACAGAGGCAGGCAGATCTCTGAAACCAGGATGGGCTACAAGAGTGAGTTCCAGGACAGCCTTTAAAACCACAGAGAAACTCTGTTTCAACAACTTTTAAAATTTTTTCTTGTAGTGCATATAAAAAACTTGAAAAATCATAAACCCTTACATAGTGTCACTTTGGAGTATGTTTTCATACATACATTGATTGTTCCCATTTGAGTTAAACTTGACTTTTTCCTAAAGTGCAGTTTGCAGCTATTTATTTGTCCTGATAAAACTGATTTGAAACAGGCCGTTTAACTGTTTCTCAGACTTTGAAGATATAGTAGAAAATGAACTTGAAACAGTTTTTCATCACTTTGTTACTGTTCTTGATGTTACCTCAGCCAACTATTAATGGTTTAATACAAAGTTGCAGAATAAAAGTAACTGTTTTGCTTTTTAGTGAAAGTAAGGAAAATATAAAATAGTTTTTTTTTTAACTCTTGATAGTCTGCTACCAGGGAGGTAGTTAATTTCAGATTGTTTTTCAGTCTTGTAATAACACAGGTTGGCCTCAACTTACCTGATGGTAGTGGAAGATGTCCTTGAAGTTTTAATCTCCACATCTCTCTACTCCTACCCCTGTATGGTGCTGGGCTTATGAGTGTAAGCTACTACTCCTGGCTCAACATTACAAATTAGATTGTTTTATTACCTTTAAGTGGTTATGCTTAAATAGACTTTTTTTTTAGATTTATTTATTGTGTATACAGTGTCTGCATGTATCCTACAGGCCAGAAGAGGGCACCAGATCTCATTACAGATGGTTGTGAGCCACCATGTGGTTGCTGGGAATTGAACTCAGGACCTCTGGAAGAGCAGCCGGCGCTCTTAACCTCTGAGCCATCTCTCCAGCCCTAAATAGACTTTTTGAGCAGGTTGTATATTGATGTATTCAGGCAGTGTATTCTGTCTAGAAAATAAAACTTACAACTTGGCTGAAAATGAATTGAGTATTTGAGAAAGCATTTCGATGTTGTTTTACCCATTTATTAATTGTGCAGTCCTTAGGAGACATGTACATCTTGCTGGTAGAGGTTAGACTGTATCAAACACCATGGTAAATTTATAAATCACATTAGCAATCTTTGGCAGATTATAAGGGAGGCCACGTTGCACTTGCCTGTAACATGACCTGCTCCAGTGGATGAGGCAGGATGAGCTCCATAGCAAGATTTTATTAAAAAAAAAAAAAAGGCAAACTTACATGATGTACATGAGATGACTTGTTATGTGAGTGACTAGGAGTCCCTTCGGGGAAGAAAGAAAGCATCTTGGGTGACATCCCACACAGGCCTCCAATGTGGTCTCTGGGTTTCAGTTCCCTGTCTGTGGCCTTACAGTCTCACAGGAGCTACATTGACAGAATTACCCAATTACTTTTAAACCTATTTAAAAAAATATTTCATTTGATAATTGCTAATTTTAGGTTGGTTTGTTTATTTCTTTTTGGGGGGCCAGGGATGGGTGGCTAATTAAGCAAACAAATATTCTTCATATATTTGGTTTTAGTGTGTTGTCCCAAAAGAGAAAACAGAATTAACTACCTTTATTCCTTCTTAACTTTTAATTTGACTGTAAATTTAGCAAAGGGTTTACTCAATTTTTTAAAAATCTTTGTTCATATTAGAACTTTATAGGAAATGGGATCACATTGGTTCTTGTCATTGGAAAGTTTTTGGGAGGCTGATAAGGTTTGTGCCACTAATGCTTATCACTGAAGTTAAGTGCATTTAAGTTGAAGAGAGGAAGTCAGACCTAAGAATATGTAAGTATTTTTTTTTTAAGTTGTGTTAGTTTTAGGAGCTTTGTCTAGTTGCAATAACTTGGACAGCATAAGATTAATGCTTTAACTTGTTAGCAGGAGTTTAAAAAGCTGGTTTCTGTTGCCAATAGTTGGTTGGAAGGGAAAATGGAGATGCCACAAATAAAAGGTTTTGGATGTGCAAAACAGTCTTGATTTTATTTCTTACAAACTATAGGACTCCAAGCCCTCTGATCCTTGATCAGAACTACATTAACACCAAAAATCAAGTTATCAAGGCAGAAAGAAGGGTGCTAAAGGAGTTGGGATTTTGTGTTCATGTCAAGCATCCCCATAAGGTGAGTTATGCAGAAATTACATTTCGTAAGTATTAGGGCTTTTCCTAAAGTTCTGACTTGTTTGAGTGAAGAGTTTTCAAAAGCTTTCTTTTGGATGTTGTTTGTCAGTAAAATAAGACTCAAAACAGGCTTTATTATTTGTAATTATGTGCTCATGGATATTCTTTGGGGTTCTTGTTTTTTTGTTTTTCTGCCTAACAAGCTCATGTGATGACTTCCTCATGTAAAAAATGAATTTGTAGAAACTGGCACGTAAAGTGTTAAATGGTTGCTGCTCCCTGTAAACCATTAATAAAAGCTTTCCCTTTTGGCTTTCCTATTACCCTTCTGAACAGTAGTTTGAAGAATTCACCTATTGGAGATAGCTTAGCCCTGCTGTTTGTGACACTGGCTGGTATCTTTAAGTTCTATTTTTCTAGAATCATAAAATGATTATAGTTTGAGTCTAGAAGCACTTGGCAGTAATTATGTATTTGGTGTGTCTTCTGGGAACCAAATATAAGGCAGTTATATGTAGCTTTTTACTTTAGTGTGCTGAGCTTTACTGCAGAAATTAACTACTGCCGTTCTTGGTGTTCTAGAAATGTGCTGTGGCCATTGTATATACTCATAGTAGAAATTCTGCCCTTTTGGTGAATGCTAGAAAACACTGAGTTATTAGCCACATCTATAAGCACATTTTTATAGAATTAAGCAGTCAACACTAAGTCTCCTATATTTGAAATGTTGTAGTAATTAAAACTGTAGCACTTGAGATGCTTTATTCATTGAATTCTGCTGTGAAAGAACCTCCAATACACTAAATGGTGTTTTTCTTCCTTGTCCTCAGATCATTGTAATGTATTTACAAGTCTTAGAATGTGAACGTAACCAAACCCTGGTTCAAACTGCCTGGTAAGTTGCTTTTTTACATTTCTTCTTTAGTCAGGAAAACAGAAGCAGAAATAAAGTAAGTTTCATTTTTTTCTTTCCAAAATAATGAAATAAGTTTGTTTTGGGGCATTTTGTTTTTGTTGTTATTTTTTAACCAAAAGGTAAATAATGCTTATTTCTGCTTCCTGTTTTCTTGGCTTGACTAATTATTTTTAATGGAGAACTCAATTTAACTTTGTTCTTTTTTCTACTCTTTAATTAAAGGGTAGTCCATGATGGTAAGTCATAGAACTCTGCCCTCTGCACTTCAGCCCATGACCTCAGGATGGCCTGATTGGCTAGCCTGCTCTCCAGCCAATCCAGTGCAAGCTCTCATCCGAGATTCACTGAAGTGGTCCATATCCATCTGGCAGCATCTTCTAGTTCTGTCGGGGTGTCAAAAGGATTTGTATATTTGCTTCTAGAAGTAACTATGCATCATGCCTATGTATTTAATGTATACCTGTAACTATCAAAATGAGTATTTCATTTTTGATAGATTGTTGTCCAGCCATTATGAACTGTTTTTTTTAATTGGGTTCAATTAAATTTCTACTTGAAGTGTGTATAGCATCCATTCTAATTCTACCAAAGGAGGCTACCTTAAGCTTGTAGCTTTAAATGGGTACCTGTTGCCATTTTAGGTTATACTAGCTATTGAGCCATTGCAGGCAGTGATGTAAGAAGCATCTTAATTTTATGTTATTTAAATATTTTTTAACCTAGGCCTTTGAGATATGGAGAGGTTAAGCAAGGAAATTGTGGTTTAGTCATAAATGATTTATAAGACTGTTGGTAAACAAGCATTAAATAATTCTGGACTTTTCCAGAAATGTCTTTTTTTTTTTATGACTGCCATGCTTCTCTTGGACTCAGTAGATACTGGTAACATTAGAAAAGCCACATTGCTTTATAAAATGCATGACTTTTTAATGTATTCTGTGCAGAAAAAAAGGTTTTAATGAGTCTAAGATTTTAGAAATAATCCATTTAATTTCCAGGTCAGGCTTTTCAGCAAATTACAAAGTTTATAGTTGAGGAATTTCATAGGGAAGTTTCACTAGAAGTTTATTTAGTTAGATCATTGCTTTTATTTATGCTTAATTGCAAAGAGGTATGTAAACAAGGCCATTATGATGTGTATTTATTGCTCACTTTTCTACCTTGATTTTTTTGAAGTTTTTTTCCCCTTCTAACTGTAAGAGTAAATTGATGGGTTCTTACTAAAAATAACCTTTTTACCCCTGTTTCTGGTATTGAATTTTTTTTTAAAGAACTTGGTTGACACTGCTTTTCGTTATGGATAAAGGAGAGATGGTCAGTAACTAATGGCTTGAAGTATTGTTGGAGTGGTAAACTCTTAAAACTCATATCATAATTGACCTCAAAATCATTGCTTTTTATAACAATATGTTGAAAGGATTTTAGGGGGAAGATCTATTGCTAATATGAAATTGTTTACAAGTGCTGTGGGGGAGGGTTAGAAAGAGTTACCATGGTACAATTTAAAGATGTGAACATAAGGAGAAGAAAAAAGAATGAAGTCGATTGAGTCTCCAATTCTGTGTGCACTTCAAAGGTTGGTTTGCTTATGGACTAAGCTTTTAGTGGAAATGTTTTTCAGGAATTACATGAATGACAGTCTTCGAACCAATGTTTTCGTTCGCTTTCAACCGGAGACGATAGCATGTGCTTGTATCTACCTTGCAGCTAGAGCACTTCAGGTAAGTGTATGGCCTGCTGGGTTTTACAACGGGAATTCAAAGAATATTGCTACTTCTTAGAAGAGTGTAAGCTTGAACCATTCTTTTTCATCATTTAGATTCCATTACCTACTCGGCCACATTGGTTTCTTCTTTTTGGTACCACAGAAGAGGAGATTCAGGAAATCTGCATAGAGACACTTAGACTTTATACCAGGAAAAAGGTAATTTTGGTTACTTAGTTTGGTGCTGATGTCATTTCCAAGAATCTAAAAGGAATACTAACTTGATTTTTATCCAACAGCCTAACTATGAATTGCTGGAAAAAGAAGTAGAAAAACGAAAAGTAGCCTTACAGGAAGCCAAATTAAAAGCAAAGGGATTGAATCCTGATGGAACTCCTGCGCTTTCAACTCTTGGTGGATTTTCTCCAGCCTCTAAACCTTGTAAGATATAATCAGAATTGAATGAGATAAGAGCATTGGAGGAAATGCATGTTGTTAGAACATTTGGCATTGGTCAGTTGATTAGAGACCATTAAGAAATTGCTACTGGGTTTTTTGGGACAAGTCAGTCTAAGGGCCAGAAGTGTAGTACTTTTGGGTGTGTTGGAAACTTGTTCTCTGCTAAATCTTGCCCTTAACATAATTGTTCTTGTCTATTAAAAGCGTCACCAAGAGAAGTAAAAGCTGAAGAGAAGTCACCAATCTCCATTAATGTGAAGACAGTCAAAAAAGAGCCCGAGGAGAGACAACAGGCTTCAAAAAGCCCTTATAATGGGTGAGTGTGCCTCAAGGGCTTGAGTGTTCGTTGTTAACCCTTTGTGCACACCCTAAAACAGTGTATAAATACTGCCTGCATTTTCTTTTTTAAGTGTAAGAAAAGACAGCAAGAGAAGCAGGAACAGCAGAAGTGCTAGTCGATCAAGATCAAGAACCAGATCTCGCTCTAGATCACACACCCCAAGAAGACAGTGAGTGATGGGTCCTGTGTGGGTAGGCTTAGGACCTTTGAAAAGGGGACAGAGCTTTTTAGGATAGGAGGAAGTATTTGGGTTTTTTGTTTGTTTAGCAGAGGTGTGTGTGTGTAGTACCTGTTTGCTAGGATTACAAACCCATTTCAGGATTAAACTTAACATAAAGTGAAATAAACTTAGACACACTTTGGATGTGAGAGGTACTTCAGTTGTGTGCTTTTAAGTGTGCCTAAGTGTTATATACAGAAGTTATAGGAAGTTTTGTAAAATTCCACTCTGTGGGTCCTAGATCAAACCCTGGTCTTGGGCTTGAAGGCAGTTTCCTTTACCTGCTGAGCCACCTCACTGACTCTAGTAGTGTCTTAATGGCATTTTACGTATTACTTTGTTCCTTCTACCCCTCGTTTTTTTTTTAAAAAAGTATTCAGAAAATGCTATCGGTATATATGTACATAAAGCTATTTATGTGAAAATATTCTTTACATTTTTACTTTTAGTGCACTAATGTATTAAAAAGCCCAAGACTTCCAGTCAGCTTTGTAATTGGGTTGCAGGTTTCTTCTGGTGGTTCAGAGGTACTTGGGAGATACTCAGTAAAAAAGCACCTAGTTCTAGAACACATTGGTGACCGCCCCCCCCCTTCACTGGAGTACCAACATAGGATGTTTTGTCTAAAGTAAAACTTCAGTTGAGAGGGGTCAGGTGAGGAGCATGGTCAGTTTTCATTGCTGATAGCTGATTGTTTTGAGCTTGCTAATGAACAACAGTTATTAATCTGTTCCCACTAGAAACCAAACTTAACCCTGAAACTTTTATTTTCTAAGTTATAATAATAGGCGAAGTCGATCTGGAACATACAGCTCAAGATCAAGAAGCAGGTCCCGCAGTCACAGTGAAAGCCCTCGAAGACATCATAATCATGGTTCTCCTCACCCTAAGGCCAAGCATACCAGAGAAGATTTAAAAAGCTCAAATAGACATGGTCATAAAAGGAAAAAATCTCGGTCTCGATCTCAGAGCAAGTCTCGGGATCACTCAGATGTTGCCAAGAAACACAGGCACGAAAGGGGACATCACAGAGACAGGCGTGAAAGATCTCGTTCCTTTGAGAGATCCCATAAAAGCAAGCACCATGGTGGCAGTCGCTCAGGACACGGCAGGCATAGGCGTTGACTTTCTTTCTCTGACACTGCATCATCGCTTCTGGTTGTGCAGTGTGATGTATGGACTCAATCAAAACATGAAGCAAACTGATTAGGAATTGATTTATTAAAATTGTCTAGGTCTCTAGAAACACTGAGGACATTTTCTTTGGAAAAGAACTATGTTAAGGTTTTTTGCACATTAAAATGCCCTAGCAGTATCTAATTGAAAACCATGGTCAGGTTCAATTGTACTTTATTATAGTTGTGTATTGTTTATTGATACAAGAACTGGAGTGTGAATTCTGTAAAAATGTATCTTATTTTTATACAGATAAAACTTGCAGACACTGTTCTATTTAAGTGGTTATTTGTTTAAATGATGGTGAATACTTTCTTAACACTGGTTTGTCTGCATGTGTAAAGATTTTTACAAGGAAATAAAATACAAATCTTGTTTTTCTAAATGGCTTCACATATCTTACTTAAATTGCTAAGAGGTAAGATTGTAATGGAGGCTTTGCGCTGATTTCATAAGAGCATAATAATGGTCATTGTGTATAGAGGAAAAGCAAATAGGAGTGGCCTGATATGCTACTGAACCACTAAAATGCAAAACCTGATCTGAACTTAAAGTATCAAAAGATAATAAATTTTAATTATCTGTTATGTGAAAAATCACACCATAAAGATAAGACCTATGTGGAGGTTTTAAGTGGTTTTGTATTCCTGACATTCAGTGGTACAGCTTAATCTAGGATTGTCAAATTCATTAAATTGATTACAAAGACATGAAAGAATTCATGCACAAAGGGGTATCAAGTTACTAGAGATGCGTTGGCAGAGTAGAGTATATGGTGCTACTTAGATTGGGTATGTTTAAACATGAAGACTTCCATGTATTGTGCCCATGATGGGGGGGTAAGAAGGCAGGTGCCAGCTACTGCTGGTGTGGTTAAAAGACCACCTTATGCAGTCAGTTCTGTGGGTTCGAGCCATCAGGCACACGTCATGGGGTGGTGAGCATATATCCTGAGTCATCTCAATGGCTTCTACATAAATTTTTTGAGACATAGTCTTACTCTTGTGACCTAGAATTAGAGAGTCACCTAATTAAAGGTCACTACAAGTTGATAGGCCCGCCTCTAGGAAAAATATAAGCCAGTCTTGGAAGAAAGGAATGTGAATATACTTTTTGTCAAATTTTTTATTTAGTCTGTACATTTATACAGTGTTTTGACTATATGCATCATTATCTTCATCTCTGCCTAGCACTGCCCCCTCCCCCACTCCAGTCTCTGCTTTTGTTGTCATTGTTGCTGTCACCGATAACCCTGCATCCAGTGAGCACTTGAATGGGGGAGGGTGTCACACGCTGAGACTTGAACTGCCTACTGACAGCCACATCACCAGGCCAACTCTCCCCCAGTAATCACACTTTCTCTATTCTGTTTTATTCACCCCTCCTGCAGCCTCTTGTCACAGTCTCCCTCCCCATCATCCCTCTCCCCCAGAACAGGCCTCCTAGGGGTATCAGCTGAACACTATAACCACATGCACTAAGACTAGGCACAAGGCTGGATGAGGCAACCCAGTCGGAGGAAAAGCATCCCAAGAGCAGGCAGAAGAGTCAAGACACCTCCCACTCCCACAAAAGGAACCCCACAATAGACAGCCACAGCATAATGCAGAGGACCTAGCCCAGATCCATGCAGACGCCGTGGTTACCGCTTCAATCTAAGGCCGTGTGAGCCCTGCTTAGTTAATTCTTAATTCTGGTGTCATCTACCCTTCTGGCTCCTACCATCCCTCCCCAACTTTGGGTTCCTATGTCTGCTCCCATCTGCTGCTCAGGAAGCCTCTGATCTATGAACACAGCACAATATCATTAGGAGTCATTCCACTGGCTTTTTACATTTTTGCTTACTTAACTTCTTTGGCCAGTCATGTTTTGTTCTGCCCTAGGTCTATGGTATGGGCCACCCAGCTTCCTGTTCCAGGCAGTGTTGAGCATGGACTCCCTCTTGTGGTGTGGGTCTCAAGTTAGTCTAGTTGTTGGTTGTTCTCTGTGAGTTCGAGGCCAGGCTGGTCCGACAGCCTCCAAAACAATACAGAGAAAACCTGTCTTGTAAAACCAAAACAAAACAAAAAATCGTAATCTGAACTGTGGGTGTGTCTTGACTGTACCCATCAGCTCTTAAACGCAGTGATCAGTTCTTACCTTTTGCGTACCTTATGGGTTCATTACATCATCCCCTTATTGGGGAGACTAGCTAGCCCCCACACCTCTCCCGGAGGCACCATTGACGCATGGTGTTGAGCGAGGGAAGAGTTTTCAGGTTGAGGTCCCTGATAAGTGAACCAGGCACCAGCGGATGGCATACTCAGATATATGGGCTGCATGAACTGGACACATGAGCTATTTAAAAAAAACAAAGGAGACAAAAAGGTGGGAGCGGGTGGCAGGAGGATCTGGCAGGAGTCGGGTTAACATGAAATTCTCAAAGAACTTTTTTGTAATTCCAGCACCCCCCCCCCATGTCGGTTGCATCCCACAGTATGAGTTTTCCCCTCTTGTGTTCCTTATGTTGCTGCAACAAAATACCTGACAAAAATAATTTAAGGAGGGACTGGAGAGATGGCTCAGCGGTCAAGGGCACTGGCTGAGGACCTGGGTTCAATTCCCAGCACCAGCATGGCAGCTCACAACCGTTAACTCCAGGTCCAGGGAATCTGGTACTCTCTCACTCTCACACACACATGCATGCAGGCAAAACAATGCAAATAAATAAAATCTTTTTTAAAATGTCTTAGGGAAGGGTTTATTGGGTTTATGCTTATAGTTCCAGGGAACCAAGTCTATCATATCCGTGAAGCTGGGGAAAGAGAGAAGGCATTGTGTCCACAGGAAGCAGAGAGGTATGAGAACCCGTGTTCAGTTGGCTTTCGTTATGCAGTCCAGGATCCCAACTCATGCAGTGGTACTGTTCACATTTAAGGGGCATTTTCCTACCTCATCCTCATTGAGATAACCCTTTACAGACATAACCAGAGACCTGTTCCCATGGTGACTCTAAATCCCATCAAACTGACAAACCAACTGCCTCCCCCATTTGGTGGAGTAGGTATTAAGTATCTCAGTGCGGCCAATAGGATACATTGTAACAGTTCTTTGGGGGGGGCAGGGGTGCTGGGAATTGAATTCCGGACTTGACACACCCTATATATATTCTAGCTCCCTTCCTATCTTACAACCACTGAAGGATTACAGACAGACAAGAGACGAGAATTTTTTAGAATATACCTAATGAAAAGCCACTTTATAGACTATGTATACATTAATTATAAACTATAGCAGTAACAATTTTCTGAACATGGGGCAAGAAAGGCTGAACATTTGTTGTTCTTTCTTTTCTTTGGGTTCTGCTAGGCACAAAAGTCCTGACTTCATATTCTCTTGTTCCATTTAGGCTCAGGGAAAACATAAATGGGCTCTGGGGTCAGTAGTAGTAACTGAAATTTACCACCATGAATTCTACTTTCCAAGCTGATTTACATACAATCTGCTGGTTTCCACAGCCAATTCAACTTCTCTTCATGTTTTCTTTTTGTTAGCAGTGGCACTGCCTTTTTTTTTTCTAGAGTATTCTTTCTTAAGATTCTGTATATTTGCTGTCAGCACTTCCAATTCCTGCCTTTTGCCATTTACCTCAGCAAGCATCTGTAACAAGTTACCTTTCTTTTCTTGAATTAGCCTTTTCTGTTTTTAGACCTGATTTTGATATTCTAGAAACTTCTCAAACAAACATTCTTCCTTTACTTTCAAGGGTGGCTTTTCTGAACCTGCTTTCCTGGGGTGAGTCTTTGTGAGCAACACTTAGCCCAGAATCTGATTGGAATTATTGCGGAGACTTTTTCTGAACTCATTCCCACATTCACTTCTGCTTTTTATTGGAGAGCGCAAGTTTATCTTCAGTCATTGTGCAAAATGGGCAGGGGGGGCCCAGTGCCTTCCCCAGACCAGACAGGAAGCCACAGTCACCAAGAGCCCCATGCTGATCCATAGCTGCTAATTTTTTTGTTTGTTTTTACTTTTAACGTAGCTTTGGATCCAATTAAATTTGTGAAATCACTCCTGCCTCTCCCTGCCTGTGCTGGAACAGCACGCATGCCACATCACAACACCAAATTAAGATGGACACTCCAAAACCCTTTTTCACATGTGTGGCTCTGAGGATCATGCCATTCCGTGTTTCTCTAGCGTGTGTAACTGGATCTCTTGGGATGGCTTGAAAGAGGATGAAAAGACCCTGAAGGTCATGATAGCCCCGCTCCACATGTCTAGGACCTGGCTGCTGTTTCCAGATTTGTCTTCTTCCTGGGACAATCCTTTCCAAACATGATCAGCTCTCATGTGGGCTGTCCTCTTTCCCTATACAGAGCACTGAGACTGTAACACAAATCTGCAGTAAGCACCTTTGCTGATAGACGTCACTGTTAGGCCGAGCATGATGGTCAGTCTTCAAGTTTCAAATCAGCTGATCCACAAAGCCTTATTCTGAACACAGTAGGGAACTGTTTCCAAGTATCTTTAGGCCTGCCTGCCTAATCCTTCTAAATTCTTCTAGCTTAATTAATATATTTACCTTTATAACCCTTTTAACATAAGCAGTACGGGCCTGATGACATTCTGTCTCATATTTAACTTTTTACCCTTCCTTCATTATTATTAACTGCCTTCCTGGGAATTGAACCTAAGGCCTTACTCAGGTTAAACAAGTGCTCCACCAGTGAGATACATCTCAAGCCCTTTTTGTGTGTCTTTGCAAACCCCTATTGTGGGGGAGAAACCCATGAGATTGTGACTTGAAACTGCTAGTAAGTGACAGCCACTATTAAACCCAAGTTTGTGAACCACCGACATAGCTTCTGAGAACCAAACTTGGGTTTTATCCAGTCTCGGCATCTAATGATCTCTGAGGTCTCCGGTGTTCACACCCACACACCATAATACACACAGTTTTAAAAAAAAGTATTTCTAAAACTCAATTTGTTGCAGAGTCCAGATACGTAGCTAGTATACTGCATATCAACTTCTACTTCCTTTACTAGAATCCTGCTCAAATCTGTCTTTCCATTTCCAAATCTGGGTTTGCCGGCCTCTCTTTATGAAGAATCTATAATGAGACTAAAACCATCAGAGGCCTTTTGCGGCTCGGTGGTAGATGCTGCTCACCAGCTAAGTGCAACTGGAACTAGACCAGTAGTGCCACACAGATAATCTGTCCCTGAAGCCAGCCTGTCCTCTAGGTGGTCAGGTCCTGAGACAACCTATCCAGTGTTGGGCTTAGAGACTTAAGGGGACACCTGTTCCATGTTTAGCCACTGCTTCCTCCAACTGATGTCTGCTTGCTTTGAGAGCTTCTCGAGTTCCCTTGATAGGGTGTGATGACTCAACTACCTGATG